AAAAACTCAATCTACTTAACAAGTGTTTGGATTAGGCAGTATGGACTTTTGCTACATCTTCCCGTTGCGAATCACGGGCACAGCAGCTAGTTCCGTTTATTCACTAATTGTAAATAAATTATAACGTAAAGATATCATTGACAGTTGGTAGGAAGATGATTACACTAAACAGGTCGCCAATTGTTTTCAGATAACGTATTATCTCGTCACATTATTTGGTAAGTGACGTTTTAGTACAATTTTAAAGAAACGTGTCCAATATCATTCAAAACAGTGATTTGGATTGTTTTGTCTACAAATCTTTCAAAAAGTTTAATCCGACGACTAAATAAAATAAATTAATACAAGAAATAGGATAGTTTTATCAACAGCAGAATATTAGTTTGGTTCTCTTTTGTGATTACATACCTGAAATGAAAACAGTATTTAGGTTGGAAATTAAAGGACAATCGCGATCTCGCAACTACGGGAAAGTGAACTGACCTGAGTGACCCGACACCTCAATAACTGGAATGGCCTGTTGATGTGAAAGAAAAATCTAAGAAATTGCAGATTAAGTCCATTCGTAGAAACGTGCGAGGATTAACGGGACACCCCTGTATTCTGTTCCCTAATATTTCCTTTAAAGTTCCCAGTACTGACTGTTATGGGTTTGTTTATATTAAACAATCGGCCAAATACTTTGCACCAGGTGTCCACGTCTACATTTTACAACATTCATTTCGTTCACCTTTCCCAGTAATAATTCGTGGTTCGTTCCTGATTTTTTAATAATGAGGCATATTGTGCTATTGTTCTAAATACATACGAGAGATATTCAAAAAGGCAAAAAGAAAGAAAAACGTTTTGAGGTAATAACAAGCCTATATTTTAATCAGGAAAGTGTTATCATCATGCCAAATTTCAGCCTAATCCCGATGTTCCCAATGAATTGTTATTGAGTGACTAGCTGACCCGGCGAACTTCGTATCGCCTAAGTTATAGGTTTCCCCTAAGACAGACCGACCCGGCAGACGTTGTCTTGCCTTTGACTATTTATAATTTAAGTACCGTTACGTTTAATTTTCAAGATGATCTCGTTCGCTACGCTAACTCGCCTCCAGGTTGAAGTTCGTTCGCTACGCTCACTCACCTTTGGGTTGGAGCTCGTTCGCTACGCTCACTCACCTTTAGGTTGGAGCTCGTTCGCTGCGCTCACTTGCCTTCAGGTTAGCTCGTTCGCTACGCTAACTCGCCTCCAGGTTGAAGTTCGTTCGCTACGCTCACTCACCTTTGGGTTGGAGCTCGTTCGCTACGCTCACTCACCTTTAGGTTAGAGCTCGTTCGCTGCGCTCACTTGCCTTCAGGTTAGCTCGTTCGCTACGCTAACTCGCCTCCAGGTTGAAGTTCGTTCGCTACGCTCACTCACCTTTTGGTTGCAAATTAGCTGTTGTCATAAATGTAAAAGAAATAATAGTGCTGCACCCTGTTGGTAATCCTTGTAACTTTAATGCTATTGAACATCATAGAACAGAACCAACTTGTTTAATTGAAACAGCTGTTAAGATTCATTAATTCCATTTCTCATAAGGTTAACATGGGAAACTCCAGAGCCACTGGGGCGGAGCCCTTTTAAGAATTTCGAAACGGGAAATAGTTTACGTCCGATTCGCATACCTACAGAATTTACACACCAAATTTCATAACGATCGGTGAAGTCGTTCCGGAGGAGTTTGCAGACAAACACTGTGACACGAGAATTTTATATATTAGATTGAACCCCAAACAAACACACAAACATTCATTTGTAATATTAGTAAAGTAGCACTGTACTTCAACGTATGAATCAGGCCGTAACTTGAAATAAACGCTTCCCAAGTAGCAAAAATCGTTGGCAAATCGTTTGGCCCAACGTTTCTGTAGATCGTTGGCCAACGGTATGTTTTGGCACTCAGTCTTACGGTTGGCCAACCAACCAATTTTTGCGGAAGGGCCAACCATCCCATTGGGCATAAACATAAAAAACACAAAATAATAAATATTTTGTATGAAAAGCATAATTATGAGTTGAGTAAAATGATTAAATAGTTCATAAAAACTTATTTTGAAAATAAAACAAGATAAAATATTTTTGGCCGGGACGGGACTCGAACCCGGGACTTTCGACTTGTGAGCCTCACGCCTTTGAGCTAACTGTGCTTGATGATAAAGAGTGTTTTCAAATGGTGAAAGAGTAGCCGACAGGTGCAACGGTCAACGGTCACAATTAATACTTTAAATATTTTTGATGCTTCAGTATAATATGATTCTGTTAATCTGTTTAGGCCTCAAGTAGTTGAATTGTTTTTCTGGTTGTTGCAGAGGATACCAGTATTTGAATATAGATTATTTAATTACCATTAGATTAGTAGGCTACTGTTATAATTGATTGTTATATAATTAATTAATCTTTTCTCTATAACTATTAAAAACTTGCTTAAATATGTTAAAGAATAAAAAAAAAATGAATTATAATAATTATTATATGTTAAGCAGGTGTTCCCCACTGTATCTAGTATCACAACATCATCTGACTACATTCATTATTGATCCAAATTTTTACAATATTTGTCTTATATTCTGCTGCTATGACATTTATGTACTTTTAAATAAATCAATTTGTTGAAATTCGTTTTAGAATGTTTTATACTTAAACCCAACGAATGCCCAACGAAGGCCCAACGATTGTTTCCTTTGTAGGGCCAACGAATACCAGTTTCCGTTGGGCCAACGTTGGCAAATCGTTAAAATTTCTGCCAACCATTTCCCAACCGTGCCGACCATTTCCCAACGTTGGGCCAACGATGTGTGCTACTTGGGTTAGGCCAGTTACAACATCCAAATGTAATATTATTTCGCATAACAGCGTTGATCAGTTATTAAACGGAGGCAAATGGTACCAAAAGTCATTATCTTGCAAAAAAAGTTGTTTTTTTTTCAAACAAAAATCAGGTTAACAACAATAAATGACTTTGACTTTGACTTTTTTCTTTTTATAATCCTAAGTCAAATTTGTATCTAATCGTATAATGAAACTGCTTGATGCATAAGGTTCAAATGAATCAGTAATATTGTTTTAACCTATGTAGATACGATATACTGCACATAGTGAAAATTGTTTAGTCGAGGATACATTTACACATAAACATCATCATTATTTAAATATTTAATTGGCCAACACAAATGTTGTGATTATTGTTTTGAAACTGCTACACATCCGATCATCAAGTTTAAGGTGTCGTTGGATATGTCGTGACATGTAAATTTGTCATAAAACAAAACACATTTGAAATTCCATCAGGGCTCTGCCCCAGTTGCCTTCAGCCAATTGAAAGCGTCAATATACGTGATTCAATTTATTTCATATCACGGACGATTACTTAATATCAAGCATTAGAAATGACAAAATAAATGTAAAAATAAACGGTATCAGCATTCTGAAACATACTTTCTCTCATAAGCTTGTTAACATCCTATATCATGGGAAAGCGGTAGTTCAAAATCACAAAAGCTGAAATAACTTTTGGACCATAATTGTTACAGCAATGGGGTGTTGTACTATTTTTTAAAAACATAATTTGTTTATGTTTATAATCCATACCGGGTCTCTTCTAGTATTCGTGGTCTAATCACAGAATACCGATAATTTCACCCGAAATACCTTTCGAATTCAAGTGAATACAATTTTCTTTGCGTCTTGCTTTCGCAATCACCATTATAAAATGGCACAAGACTATCCCTGACCATCGCCGGTTTAAATGTATGAAATGCATGCTTTTCACACGTATGTTGCGTGCACACGTGGTGGTAGGTGCGCATAAAAACTTATATATTTATATGCCTAATGAAAAAAAATTGTTTATTCACTGGCAGTTAAGTAAAATAACTATTCTATTTTTGTTTTTGGTATACGTTTTTATCATCTCATATTAATACGCGAGGACTGTGTTTTGTGAACACTACTCCTCCCTTATTTGTGAACAAATTTCAACGTTAATTTAAGGTGTTAGTGTTAAAGGATTCGGACCAATTCGTAGTTTTGCATTAAGGTTTTATAGTTTAAAGACATTTAAAATACATTTAAAGACATAATTTAAAAAACATACAAGCTCCTACCCTTAAGAGCGTGAGACCCTTTCAAATGTCGGGTTTTCACCATGTTAATAATTGTATTACCTATCAATCTTTCTTCCAAAAATAAACTAAAATTGTCCAGAAATGCTATTTAAGAGTTAGGTACATTTATTTCTCTAAATTAACTGAATCAAAGTACAATATATTTAATGCTACAGAATATAAATCCAACCGATTTATTTATTGATAAATCCAACCGCGAGGTGGTGGGTTGTCGAGGTGGCACCTTGTCGCCTATGAGCGAGGTGGCGCGTTGACGGCACCGAACACTGAGCGTACACGTCAACCCGCCACCTCGTAAAAGAGTGGTGGCGGGTTGACGGGATGGCACGTTGTCGCCTACGTACGAGGTGGCGGGTTGCCGACATCGAACATGGAGCTTCACGACAACCCGCCACCTCTGATAAAAACTGGTGTTGGCGGGTTGTCGTGGTGGCATGTTGTCGTGGTGGCTCATTGACTTGAGTGTGTACGACAACCCGCCACCTCGGAAAATTGTGTGGTGGTGGGTTGTCGTGGTGGCCTGTTGTCGAGGTGGCGGGTTGACCTGTACGTACACGTCAACCCACCACCTCGGTTTTTTTGTGGTGGCGGGTTGACGCCTCTGACCAAAACACCGAGGTGGTGGTTTGACGTGGTGGCGCATTGACAGCGACCCTTTTATAAAAGCAAATTAGAAAAGAAGAAGAAGAAGAAGAAGCCCCGATGTTGTTTTGTTTCGTTTGTCTTTGTCAAGCAGAATGCAGAATAGCAGAAACTAAACAATATTGACGCTATAGTTCGGCCGCTTAGAAAACGACCTGCGCGCTAATGCTAAACCAATGCTGGAGGAGGTCGCTTTCTACGCGGCCGAACTATAGCTGGCTAGCTAGCTGTTGGTTGTTGTTTACTTCTCAATTGTGCATTTTTGGTAAAATCGTACAGTAATGATCTCTATATCCCTAATATTTTTTGTTCATTTGTTACGTGATCCAACACAAAAATTCATAGCTTCTTAACACAGCCAGTTCTTTTTCAAAATTAACGTTGTCAATGTATATCGCAAAATAGTCAGTTGTCGATGAAATTAGGACTAGCCTATGACGATGTCTATGTGTACAGTAAAGTATCAAGACATCATTACAGGTTTTGGTAAAAGGTAAGAACAAGACTAATTATTAGCTAATTGTTTTAATGAGGCATTGGTTTTAAAATTTGAATAAGAGAAAGGCAACTTAGGCTTACTGGAGGAATAACCTATAGCCTATCCCAGACGTAGCCTACATTTTCACATAGGTCTTGCTCATTTTACAAGCCTATCACTAAAGGCTATTTATAAGCTCTTTTTAAAACCTAATTGTGCTAAGAGTTAAAAACTGAACATTCAGTGACTTGAGATACCACAATTTGTTGAGTAAGATAACTTGTGTCCTAGCCTAAATTAAGTTAAACGCCTTTGACAGGCACGTCTAATGGTAATTTTTTTTATGAGAACTTGGCCATTGGAATTTACCATGATTTTATATACCGGTAACCAGAACTAAGATTTTTAACTTACATGAAAATAGGCCCTAGCGGTTGTTTAGTAGCCTACAGCCTACCGAATTCGGTTTTAAATATTATTTTGTGGAGCTACTAGTACTGTCGCTCCTGACCTCATGAAGACAACGCATCCCCACCACTGCAGAGGCACTCACGCACTGACCGGCGTAGCGCCCAGATGCACGCTACCGCAACTCCCCATAATGAACATTAAATTTGTCTTTGTAAACTCTGTCACGTATCAATCAGTTATGTATCAATATACCCCTCTTTATGTAATTTCTGAGTGAGTCATTTGTCCCCCCGCTACACTACTGTCTACACCGCTCCTACGATGACAGCTACCATCTACCTTGTTGATACCGCTCTCGGACCTGCTTCGGACAACCCTGGACCACACCAAGGCCTCCCAGACTTTGGTAGGCCTATAGGTATTGGTAGCTTCACAAACATTTTTGTTTGATTGTTTGCCTGCCCGCATTTATAAGTTTAAATTTGCTAAATAACTAATACCAAACATTTGGTCCGTCTCGAACCGGATTTACTACAAAGGGTTAAATTAAAGGGATTATTCTATTTATTACGCTATAATTACAGTCCACTTAAGTTCCCATAAAATAATATGTAATATGAAACTTGCTTTAGTAAGTTTTCAAAGGTTAAGCAGTTCAGTTTTGTACAGGAACGTAGCTTTCTAGTTTTGCTATTGCCGATTGTTATCTCTGAGGCGCATAGCGATATCGGCACTGGCTATTCGAGTTAAACCGCAATTGGAATTTCTGAATTTCCTGGTGTATTGTTGATCAGCTGTAGTATTTCAATTCAACTCATCTTTCAATTCATTGATAACATTTTCTAGACGTCAATGCTTTGTTGGCGATTTATTTTTATTCTGAGTTTGTATTTCTATTTATAACATTGAGGTTTAATATTATGTTCCTTCTGTTTTCACTATTTTAAATAGCCTTTCGTGTTTATATTGTTAAGTCTATTGTCAGAATAATCTACCGTAATGTCTGAAACAAAGAGAAAATAAAATAAATTTGTAAAAAAACGCAAAAGAGTGTTTGTGAGATTGCAATTGTGATTTGACCTTATTAAGAAATTGCCCGCTAAGAAAAATGTTTTTTTGTCTAGATGTGCAGAATTGTCTCAATTGTAGGCCTACTTAATGATTTTGTAGAAGTTACTCAGGAAATTTATGAATTAAATTAATTGTTAGGCGATTTAAGTGATGTAATTGAAACAGAATCCCCTAGCAAACAGTTTGATGTAATGTGAGGTCAAATCCACTTATGATTCTCTTGTTTTACCACAAAATGTAGACCCTCAAAATCAAGCTCAGACTACAGTCAAACCGAAAATACCTAAGATTGACATAAGCAAGTGTACGCCGAATCAGTTAGATCAGTTTCTCTCATTCAAGTCATTATTTGATAACCTTATTCATACATCTACTGTACTGTTGCTCCTATTGAAAAGTTTAGCTACTTAAGAAGCTTGCTTGAAGGCCCCGGTTTAACTTTAATTGAAGGAATACCTTTTGACCCAGATCATTATCAGTTAGCGTATGACACTTTGATCGAACGCTTACACAAATCCTAGAATCTTAGCAACTCATTATTTGAATATGATTATTGATCAGCAACCCATCAAACAAGCTAGCCTAAGTAACTTGAGACACATTTCAGATGTTTTTAACAATAATGTACAGGCTCTGAAGGCGTTAAAAACTGATGATTTGTCAAGCTTTGTATTTTTACATTTAGCTTTAAGGTTGTTAGATAATAACACAAGAAAAGCGTTTGAACTGGAAAATAAGTCTGTTAAATTTCCAACTCTAGACAATCTTTTGACTTTTTTTACGAGTCCAATGTTCGATTCATAAACTTACAAAGAATCCCGTGAAACCTGTTGGTAGCTTTAAGAATGTTAAGTCAAGTCCTCATAAAGTTTTCATGTCAACTCAACCCAAGTCAGCCAATACGCAGTCATCTCAGCACACACCTTACACTTTGAGTTGTCCCTAGATGGCGTCCCCATCTCAATTGATGATGATAATATATTTATTTTTAGCCATGCTGGAAATTTCTACTAACTCTGGCGAGGATCAAAGATTCAAAGAGAAGAAACCAAATTTTATTTGTAAGCTGTTCAGACGCAAGAAAAGTTTTGGGCATAGCTGTGTAAGGATTGACAACTCAACTATTTCAAGAATGGACCAGGGTGACAATGCAGGTAGAGAAATTTGAAAAAGTTATGATAAGTAGTTTGTAAAACTGATGACAAATTACTAACTTGCTATCAATAGTTTTGATGAACTACCTTTGTAATTGAGCATAAAAAATTAAGTAAGTTAGGCTCGTAAAAACTAATAATTTTTCCAGCAGCAAAACTCGGCTTTGCCCTCGTACAATTGTGCTTATAGAATAAATTTATTCATATGAATAAAACCCTGGATATTCACAAATCTCGGCACCATCAAAACTAGAAATAGGCTGTGTTAAATATTCTTCTCTGTGGTTCAACATTTTAGACCGGTAACTACTATATTCAGCATGATCTCAAACATTCACCAACTTTCGTCAATGAAAATAACCCTATTGTTTATTAAGGCTTAGGGAGTGATCTGGTCTAGTGGTTTTCGGCCACCCTGTAGGCCTATCTATATATAAAGCTTGGATGGATTTGAACTTTTGAGAAAACGATAAGCCGCACACCTATCAATTGCATACCGGTACTTGAATGAAAGGTCTTGCTGTGAAACTGCCCTGAAAAATATCAGTTGTTTTTCAGTTTTTCGATAAGCCCTCTCCTAAGGGCATGAACATCAATTAAAGGACTGTATTTAATTACATTTAAAACATTGAAGATACACCAGCTGTTTGATTTGTTTTTGTTTTACTTTTGATTTTAGGTACAATAGATTTCTATATTGCATCAAGAGTAGAGTATTTTTCCTTGTTGTGACTTGGACATTGATAAAATTTATTTTCATAAAGAATAAGATTTTTTAAATCTAGGCTAAACAGCTATTGAGCTATACCCACCCTAATTTTGAAGATGTTTAACCATTATTGTTGTCTATTACCATCCAATTTTATAATTTTGAAGTAAAACTGTACCTATACAAGTTCAAAGACAAGTTAGGTACAGCTGCATGGAAGAGGTAAAGGTTTTAACAGCTTTGGTCTATTTGGAGATAGCGGTCATTGAAGACAAAAAAAAAAAAAAAAAAAAAAAAAAAAACAATATTCAATGTTTGTCTCAGCTGTGTAGGTGAAGGCTAAGCTTCACTAATGCATGTAAGTAAGCTTGTCTGCATGCAGCTAACACTACTAACCATAACCAGGTGTCGGGGTAGCCCGGGTGCCTTCATCTCTGTCTGTGAGAGATGTGTTGGTCGTCCCGTGTGGTTCTCCCTTCCCCACCACCCCTGCTCGCACTAGGGACATTGACACCGACATGGAGGCCTTGCGTATCTCTCGCCAAGACAACCCTTTCTTGAAGGTGATCAGTGTCTAAACACCATTATTTGTACACAAACCTCTAAATAACTATGCATAACTATTTTACTTAAACTTCCCTATAACTATAGGGGAAAAATAACTATATACGACTGGAAAAAATATGCTATCGGCAAAAAAATTGATACCAGAAATTGTACTTGGTTTCAAACATTTTCATGGATTTCATACTGCCATTTGTGGCTATTGTTACTGTGAAAATTCAACATGTAATCTTTCTGCTAATGCTTAAGAGATAAGAGAAATATTTCCAAAATAAATCCTGAATGCAGGTTGTACAGTTGAACTCCAATTATCCAATAACCCGAGTCGCGGAAAACAGTCACGAGGTTCCATTGGAGGAGACGATAATCATGTCTACACGACCAGGGGAGAGGATGATAATTTCTACACAACCGCTAGAGATATTCAAGATTTGGCTGCGACCACAGAAAACAAAAACGATTACGATGTTTCCATTACCATGGGAGACAATCATAATATAGACAAGAGAGTATAAGATGTGCAAGATTTGGCTGCAATTGTGGAAAAGATTACGTTGTTTCCATGACCGATGACAATGTCTGCACGACCATGGAAGATGTGACCGTGATTGTGGAAAACGATGACAAGCTTCAATTACCATGGGATACAGTGATCATGGCTACATTACCGTGGTATATATTTTAGATTTTTCTGTGATTATGGACGATGATGATATTTCTGTGACCGCGGGAGACGACGATAAGTTTAGTCTGACAGCGGGAGGTGTAACAGATTTTGCCGCGATTGCAAAAAAAGGCTATAGAGTTTTTTTGATTTCGCCGCGATCACAGCTTCTGCCTTCTTTAACAATTCTTTTTACTTTGGTTTTAGTTTTTTTTTTTATTCTTTCTATAAGCAACTTGGATAATCGGCAATTTGGATAGTTGGAGTTTGGATAATTGGAGTTCTACATGCATCACTAAATGTTGCTCTAGTTAATAATATTGTATCATCTTTAACTTAGAGAAAGTTACTCTCTCTCTCTGAAATTAAGAACTTTTAAAATATTTTTATGCTATATTTTATGTTTGCATTAGATATTGTAACTAATCAGTAAATTGTGTATTGACTTAGTATAGATTTCATTGTAATTGACTGTGTAATAGATAACTTCAAATTTTGTTTTACTGAATTGATTTCTAATCTAAAAGTGGTGTAATCGTTGCAGTCTTCTTAACACATATTAAATAGTTTATTCTTTACTAAAATATTCTTGGATAGAAATTGCACCTTTTATTCATTTTCCTGTCAGTAATGTGCAGTAGGCTAAGGGTACAAACACACAGGACATGACACGGCACAGCGCGGCGCCCTATGCCACCCCGTGCCGCACTGCGCTTTGACGCTCCCTGTGTGTTCCTTCGCATTACGAAGTACGTATTTTTTTTCAAAGCGTCATGATGCGCCGTGCTGTGCTGTTTCCTGTGTGTTTGCACCCCAAGTTTAATTTTTTATTGAGGAATGACATATGGCTAACTACTAACTTTTATTGTTTAACAGCAAGTTCTAGCCAGTCGGGAAAGTTTAGCTGACAGTTTGGAAGAATCAGAGTCAGATGACATCAATCTTATGTCTCAGGTAGGCATTTAATTTTAATATTTTTAATTTAAATTAAGTTAAAGTAAGAAAAATATATTTTTTTAATTGACTTTTAAATTAATTGTAGAGTTCAGATGATTCCTATTAATCACTAATCTTGCTGAAAGCTTTGATCTGATTATGTTCACAGTTACATCACTTACCATTTAGATGTTTTCTGTGGTATTGACAGAGAATGACCAGATTTATGGATCTATACCCAAGATTAAAATGGTGGATTGTTAAATAAAAGGATACACTGTTGGTCATGTCTGATGTTTTGTGCAGGAGTTTTCTGGGGATTTCACAACAGACCCGTTCTCTTTACCTGAGGTCCATCAACATATGATCCGGTCACCTCCTCCCACCTCTTGGCCACGATCTCCAAATTTCAAAATGTTTAGATTTCCCAATGATAGTGAACAAGACTCTTATCAGGTAACTTCGCAACTGATTATCACTATGCTATATTTTAAAGTGTGACAAAACTTCAAATTTTAAGTGTGTAGATGTCTTTTTGTAATAAATTAAACCAGAAACTAAGCTAGTAAGCACAGAGATGCACCCTTTGCTCTCCTAATTTGTTGTCCTCATTTTCTTAATTAATGAATCGGTTTTCAGGAAAGCCCGACAAGGAAGAGTCCATCCAGACTATCATCTGTGTCTCCAAGGCATGACAAAGCGAATGAGTTTCTTCATGGTAGGTAAATTCCCTCAAGTTTCAACTGTGTTTCAACCTAGCTACGTATCTTTTATCAAACGTAGACAGGCTTAAGAATTTTTATTGAAGTAAAACTCTATCATTAAAAATGCTGACAGTATATAAAACATTTGTTCATTCTCATTTGTCATCTTTTCTTTCAATTGTAGCATCACATAAACTTTGGTATGTTGGGCAGATGAGAGCAGCCGAGGGTCAGTCAGCTGTGCTGTGTCTCCCAGGCTCAGCCTCAATCTGAGGCCACATCAGAGATCCAACAGTGGTGATGGAAAAGGTGACATTTTAGCCCTATGTCCAAGTTGTCACCAGTTGTGATGGCCACAGTTCAATTGAGTCACCCCACTGACTGTGCTCACTGCTGATGTAGGCCAAATTACTGATTTCTGTCCAATTTGCCAAGTTCTTAACCAAGCCAAAATGATAGGATGATCTATTGTAACTTGTAAGCTATTATCTTCTACATAGCTAAAACTATCTCAGTACCAAAAACTAAGAGAGCAAATGTAATTTTAGAATTAGCACACTCTGTGATTGGCTCATTCAACTTATGTTCTTTTATAATAAAAAGTGGAATGTTTACTTCAGTATTCAAGAGCCAATAGTATAAGAGTACATTATCAATGTCGCCCTTTCCCCCATTATAAAGTATCTGGAAAGCAACCCCCAGATTGTGAATTTAAACCCCCTAAAATAGCTTTTAATTTTAATAATCTTTTTAAAAATATTATAACAACAAATAGTGGTCTCTGTTCTAAACAAAGTACTAAATATAAGATCTAAATCTAAAATATTGGCTAATTTTACATACGAGGTGAGGATATACTTTGATACCTTTTACTGTACATGAATATTTCTAGAAACCTTATTTATTGACTTACTATTTATTATCTGTTTGGTACATTGTCTGGTAGACTGGTACAATCACACTACTTCTGTATAATTTGGCACATGTAAACCATTCACTTATTTTCAAAATGGATACTATTCTATTCTTTCGACTGTAACCTAAGTCCATCCCCAGATAAAATCAGACTTTTTTCACAAAACGTTTGTACATAGCTTAGCTATAAAACAAGTGATTTTATAACACATTATCAAATTATAATACATTCATTGTTTATCAATCCTACATTCTATCGTAAAAAATACTCATTTTGATTTTAAAAATATTTCACTATAAATATTCATTAATATAGTAGTAGTTTTTTCTTACTAAACATTTTGGTTACTAGTGAACTCCCTTTCAAAACTGGCCGAGAGTCTTGCAATTTTAACTTCACCTTCTCCTCTCATCTTGTAAAAACTATATATTTACTAAATAATGTAATGAATCGCATAACAATATTTATTTTCAGTAAAGTTTAACACTAAGTATACGTATAGTAGTCATTTACACTCAATAATCAACGCACACATTAAACAAGAGGTCCCACATGGAAGTTACCTCCAGGCCGTCACACAAATCGACAGAACGCACACGGAAGCTATTTCCAGCCCCGGACAAAACTGAACAAAACTAACAAATAGAAAAATAACATCTCACATCAGAATAGTAACCTTTATTAGTCTGTTTTTTAAGATTATGTTTTGTTCAAATTTTCTAAATTTATTTATTTCTATTGTGTCTAAATTCAATAAACTTTAAACTTTTGAGAAATATATTTAAACATTGTAAAAATCACAAACACTAAAACAAAACATTTAATTGTACAACTGACTCACAACAGAAAAACAATAAGTAATTAACCAACCAGCTGGTATCAAAACATAGGAAATAGAATATTGTTAGTTGACACTAGATTGAATATATATCAATTTCATACCAAGCTATTATATCTAACCAAAAAACACATTTTAATTGACTTCCCTGTAGCAGCAAACACAAGTAATCTTTAAACCTAATAGGGAATAAAACTGGAATTGTTAATAATGAAATTGAGTTAAAATCCAACCAGACAAATGGAAATTCGCTTAGTCTGCAGTTATGCTGCGGAGGAGGTATTGAATCTCCAAATAAATTTATCTAAACTATTGTAATTTCTAACACCTGATATTACAGCAAAGTAAATAAAAACTACACACATTAAAATACAACAACAAACACACAAATGTCGCTGTACAAATATGAAATTGAAATCCATACTACCGTACCTCTTTCACAATACAAAAAAAATCCTTGAAATTTTGAGGTGAAGACCAAACTACTGGAGATAGTAAGAAGAATCATTTAATAAAATAATTATAAACTTTACATAAGCAGTATTAAAAATTTATGAACAGGGTTTAGATTGGAAAATAACAGTAGTGAATATGAAATGTCATAGTTCCCCAAAGCCCTCAAACCCATACTTCAATCTCTTTCATGTTGCTTTGGTTTAAAAAAAAAACTCCTCTAAATAATTTCTGGATTTGGAGAGAGCGTTTTTATTAAATAAAATATTTTCTTCTATTCTTGAATATAGGCTATAACTGAATTTTGTCTATTGTAGATCGCAGCTTCTCCCTGTTGACTCCAGCGCCACTGCGCTCGTTGACCGACGTCCGTCGTCTGCACTCGAGGTCCAGTGAGGAGAGTCAACAGCTGATGCTGTCAGATCCTGCAAGCAAACATTAACTGAAAGGTGCTGGTCATCTCTTCTAGTCATCTAGATCTAAGCGTGTAAAATATAGCATACTATCTGTCTGTAGTGTGTATGACATTGGGTTATAAAATAAAATTATAAATTAGTAAATTAAGAAATAAGTATGTTTTTAAAATAATAATAAATTGTGTTGAGTCTAAATAGTCTATGAAGAGTTATTAAATTTGCCTACTAAGCAAATATTGATGGATTTGTTACATAGGAACATTTTGATCTTAAACCTAATGATAAAATAGGTCACTCTCAAACTAATCTATATTTACCTATAATAATATCAACATTTACTTCATGCTGTTGTCGTGGTCAGACAAGTTTAGTTTATCACAATCCAGTTCTAATATGTTTTCAAGGTTGTCTAGCTCTTAAGTAAAATTCCAACCTATATCTGATCTCAATGCTTACGACTTTCTCAATTATTTTACTGTTGAGACATAAAAACTACACATTGTATCCATTTAATACAATCAACTCATACATAAAGATAACTCCATAGCAAATACCCATTTAATATTATGTTAGACAGATTGAGACTCGTCTCTTGATCACTAGCACCCACTCATTGTTGAAATATTAAGGGAATCATGGGGAACATTATTATAAAAAGTATTTTTTTTTCTAAAGATGTTAAATAAAAAAAAATCCTAATGTCTAAACTAACCTATCCTTACTTTCACAACATGATGCAAAGTTCAAGTATCATTCCACACAATATTGTACCTAATTAGCTTGTTTTTTGTTTTTTTTACCAAATATGATTTATTTATCGTAAACATAAATATATTTGTTAAAATTATAAAAATTGGTTTAAAAGTTATGTGTGATATATCATTCATTGTAAAAGTAATAAATAACAAGGTTGTGCATTGACTTTATTAATTTAGCTTTTTAATTTTTAGCATGAACAACTGTTTTGGGACCTTTATAATGTAAACAAATTTAGTTCTATCCAAAATTTGTTTAATTATTTAGACATTTAGGCTACCATAATTAATTAAAAATATTTTGCTGCAAATGAGAGTTAGATAGACCACAAACTAGTTTTTAATATTTATCTATAACTTAAAAACACTATAAAGCAAACAATATGTGTTGGTAAAAATAATATTATAGTGCAGGCGTTCTCAAACTTCACCTACTCAAGGACCCTTGTATTTAATTATGTATGAAATGCGGACCCCTACAATTACCCCCCCCCCATTAACCCCTTAATTTTGATTTAAAATTTATCACTCTTAAAAGATTACTTATTCATAATAAGGAATAGGTTAAAAAATAAATAATCAACAAATAAACAAACCAAACTGTTATTTTTATAAATAGAAATTGGTTGTGGTGATTAAACATAAATTTTATAAAAATGTTGTTCGCTACCCCCCAAAAACTACTCACGGACCCCTAGGGGAGGTCCGCGGACCACACTTTGAGAAACTGTTCTATTGAGTATGTCTGTTCTGTATTATTTCTGCAGTATTTCAGTATAATAAATATAAGTTTTGACACAAGTTAGCAGAGAGTATAAACATTTATCTCAGAAAGCTTGTCAAAAAGTAAAAAGGCTAGATTGGGCAATTTCACATCATAACATAAACAATTCTTCTACGTGTAATTGGTGGCTGGGCAGGAAGGTAGGGCGCTATACCTCAGTGCTGGGACAAGTGAAACATTCCACTACTGCAAAAATTGCCATGTTACCACTACTAAGGGCATATTCATTTTTTAATCTTTTCATTTAGCAAAATTACATGTTGAACCATAGCCACCTCTAATACACAAGGCCGCGACGTTCGAACTGGCAACGCCGCACTCACTTGCCGCCTGGGTCCGGCACACACGCTAGACTTTAAACATCAATGAGAGTTTGCTGCTCTGTATCAATGAATGAAAGTATGTAAATGACATATATTAGTGGCTTTTAGGGTATGTTAAAATGGACAAATTAGAATCTAGCTTGTTTATTTAGTGAAAAATGCAACATACCACAATATGTCTAAAACTAAAAATACAAACATAATGGTTTTTTGTTTCATTTATCGTATTGTAAGTACAGTAGAGTCCCGCAAACTCGGCTCTCGATAACCCGGCAGTCTGGATAACTCGGCCATCACCTGGCTCAGAAAATTAGTGATTTTTTGAGTTTGAGTTAAAAATGGACTCAAGCCAAATCATTCGCAACTCATACCAAGGATTTGTTGTACTATATCTGATGACTTAATACTGACTTGTAATAAAAATATAAATAAAAAAAGGCAGTTAATAAGCTTAAAAATTTTATTGTTCTTATTTTTAACCCTAGTTCCTGATAACCCAGCATTTCACAAACTCGGCACCCTTCCAGTCCACATTACGCCGAGTTTGCGGGACTCTACTGTACGATGAATTAGGAAATGTATGGACTTTGCATATTTCCTTTGTTAATTTTATAATCTATACTATTATATAAAAATCTAATGGTATCTGTATATGTGTTATTCAATATCGTAAAAACTACTAGACCGACTGGGCTTAAATTTTACAAAGATATAGCTACTATACCAAGAAAGGTAATAGGAATTTTGCCACTTAGACTCCCATTGCAAATGGATTTGTAGAGACTAAAATCTAACAATAAAATTAATTTTCAATTTGAAATAGGAATATTATGTTTTAGCCTACCTGAGGAACCATAAGTTAGCTACAACACAATTTGAAGTTTTCAATTCTTGTTTGAAGGCATACTGACTAATGAATTGATTTTCTTTGAATAATTACTAAGCAAAATGTTTGCAATTTTGTAAATGATTTCAGAAGCTAGGCCATATGGCTTTCCACAATATTAATTGAATTTTTGTCACATCAACATTCAGACTGAATTCGGAGACTCTGATGCTTTTATTGTTAGATGGTGTGGTACATATTTTTTACTAGTACTTAAAAGAAACACCGGTTTATTTCTTTGAAGTGATAGTTATTTATGTTATTTTAATCACGTAACATAACAACAGCGTTTATCAATAAGATACAAAAATTAACTAGGAAATAGTGTAGGTACGGTATTCTCACCTAAAACTCGCTTCTCGCGTCTATATTTACACGAATCGTTTTTATTCTTATACTAGCTGGCCCGACAGACGTCGTCCTGTCCTATTGTGGTTTTATGTCACATGCTCGTTCATTTTCAAGATGAGCTCGTTCGCATGGCTCAATCACGTCCTGGTTGAAGTTCATTCGCTACGCTCACTCACCTTTAGGTTGGAGCTCGTTCGCTGCGCTCTCTTGCCTTCAGGTTAGCTCGTTCACTACGCTAACTCGCCTCCATGTTGAAGTTCGTTCGTTACGCTCACTCACCTTTTGGTTGCAAATTAGCTGTTCTCATAAATTAAAAATAAATATAGTGCTGCGCCCTGTTGGTAAACCTATTAACTTTTTAATGCTATTGAACATCACAGAATCAAATTGTTTAGTTGCACCAGCTGTTAAGATTCTTTAATTCCATTTAAATATGAGTACTCATAAGGTTAACATGGGAAACTCCAGAGCCACTGGGGCGGAGCCCTATTGACGGATCTGCACCAAACTTCACACAAACCATCCTTGAATAATACTTAATAATGCCTGAAAGTTTCATTACAATCTGTCGAGCGGTTTTGGAGTCCATAAAGGACAAACATACAAATATACAAACATACAAATATACAAACATACATTGGATTTTATATATATATAGAAGATTTGTTTACAAATCTAAGTTCATATTCGTGAAAATGTTTCACGCAAACACTAGAATTGTTTTAAGGTGTCTAATTTTACTGAAGAATAGCTGGAAGCCACTGTTGCTTACGTGGCAGATCACTTTCGCTGCGGCCTTGTGTACTAGAGAAGGCTATGGTTGAACTGTCAAAAATGTCATTGGATGCTCCTAAACTGAAAAGAAATTGTTTAATTTTTACCAAGTTAACTCAATAGTCATATCCTTGTATGTAATCATATTTTCACAATTCAACATTTAACTTTGTATGTAACAAATAAACCTTAAAAAATAATATAAATCAAATAAGTAGGACTATGTTTTTAGGAAAAAGCATTTAGCTTGGATTAAATAAATATATAGGATGGAGAGGACACAGCTAACTCATCTGATGAAAGGTTGCAGACGAGTCAAAGAACACATAAAACACACACATAATAATACTTGATATTTCGCCTCTTAAGAGGCTTCTTCAGAAGTAGACCTAGTAACTGCCATCTAGGTCTGCTTCTGAAGAAGCCCCTGAAAGAGGCGAAATATCAAGTATTATTATGTGTGTGTTTTATGTGTTCTTTGACTCGTCTGCAACCTTTCATCAGGTGAGTTAGCTGTGTCCTCTCCATACTATATATAAGTACCGGTAGGACTATGAATTTTGACTAAAAAATGTATTGTGCTAGTTTGTGCAGATGAAGCTCATTAAAAGCTTCACTGTGCAATAAATGTATGTCTGGTGGTAAGTAAAAAGAAATGTGCAAAGTAGTTAACTATTTACCTGATGTAGAAAGGGATTTAAATGGCAGCATGAACTCTTATAAATTAATAAGAAATTCAATAATTTGACCAACATTTTACAGTTGCCATTTCAAAGCATTCTGTAATGCAAACATATAACTGATTGGTTTGTTGGTTGATTACAATTTATTTGTCAGTGTTATTTTTGAAAACTCCGAACCATTAATAAAAGAGCTTAACTAGAGTCAATAGAGTAATCCTAACTAACTTATGCAATAAGCTGAGATTATGACACCGAATTAAACGAAAGCTGATTCTGTTGATAGATTCTTGTTAAATTGAGTGTTGTTTATATTCATGTAAGGTTTAAGTGATATCTATATCATATAATATATATAATAGAGTATAACTTTAAGTGGATGACTATGTAGTAGTTATTTGGTGCTTTAAAGTATGAATTTCTCAATATTGTCCTAGGGTAGTCAGTAGATGTCCACTAGGTGCCTAGAATTAGCCACAACTTCGGTTACCATCTTTGTATGTTTTCTTAACTGTATGATGTACTTTCCTTGTTAAGTTATAATTTTTATTTACATCATTAAATCCTTTGCCTAGATATTTATATCTTAAAATCTGTATAAATTATATGAAGATTTTTTATCTTCTTAAAAGTTCACAAACTTTGGCGTATTAATGCTCAACACAATCAAATCACTAATATTTCGCATACCACAGCATGCAGTACTTCTAATCAGCACCTATGTTAGCCATAATGGGTCAGCTAATGAACCTCTCTTTCATTAAAATTTATTTAATTTATTGAAAGTATTATTTGTACTTTCATAAGTTAATACATTGGTATAACCTTATTCACCCAGTAAGAAGTTACTTAGCAATTTAACGGCGAGAGATAATTAAATTTGCAAACTTAACAGTTTTCTAAAAGTATTCATTTTAATGTTGACTTGGTTTTTGAGCCAATAGATTGTGTTAGTCAAGTTTAAACACTCTACCTATAACCCCGTATGAACAAGTGTTAAATTCATATGTTTTCCCAAATCTGTTGTTTCATTCAGTTGTTGAATTATTTACCAACTATTAAAAACCGTTGCCTACCATAAATCCTCTACTATAAACATTTTTGTGATTGAGATTTTCCACCTGTAATATTGGTTTATTATAGTCCAGTCTGCAAGGTAACTGTTGCTATCGACATAATAAAGGCTGTATTAAAGAAACCATAAAACTATTTACAAGGGTACGAGACATTTTATAGTATTATTGCAAATTTTTCTGGAACAGACTTTTTATTGTGACTATTGTATGAAGTGAATTGATCTCATTTCGTTCAGATTGATTTATAGTATTTATCAAACTTATTTGTCTTATTCGTGGTACAATTTGTAAGTATTTATTTATAAATCAATATACTTAAATTCAACGCATAAAATTTGAAACATGTACCTGTTATAATGTTGTGTTTGATTTATTTGATCATAATGTTACTACAGTAGAACCTCTTTAATCCGAACTAATTGGGACCGGGGGTAGTTCGGACTATTGAATAGTTCGGATTACAGAACATATTGTTGTTTTTACATAACAATCGCTAAAACATGGCTAAAATTTATCAACATTATTTTGGGAAAAGTGAAAAAATGTTTTATAAAGTAAAATACAGTGTTTATTTAATACAGTAGTTAACATGGTGAATAAACAGTACTGTAAATTAAATACAGTATACAATAAAGAACTGCTGTACTGTGTTTAGAGTACAGCAATGAGGGGTTCGGATTAGTGGACGTTCGGATTACGGGGGTTCGGATTAAAGAGGTTCTACTGTATTTTATAAATCTAATATAATAATATGACTTATGTTTTTATTTTTTGGTTAGTACCTTTTTTGTTATATACGTTAAGTGATACTTCTTTGTTTTAGAATCTTTTTTATCATCTATTGTTTTTATTGTGAGTTAAGGATATTTTAAATATGAATAAAGAAAATTTAGTAATAAGAATATTTTACAGGAATAGTACCACATTTCAAAGTGGCTATTACTTTGATTTTAAATGGATATGTTTGATAATGTCAGGTCAGATACAACAGTTTTTTGTGTAGTTTCATTTTCATTTTTTGTACATATGTGAAAATTAGGCTCGTTTCACATATAAGCTTACCCGGCATGCCGTTAACTCGATTTCTAGCTGACACCGGGACTCCAGCAGTTGTACTCCGCTTGTGCAACTTAAGTGTAGGGATAGCAAAGCAAGGAACATGGTAAAGCAATTAAAATGTTACTTTTGTATAGGGTTAGAAATAAGTAGAGGGAAGAATTGGCTGCACTTGGTACACCCTTTAAACGTGAAAAGAAACCAAGTCCGGGCTTTTTATATTCTTTTTGATAACTTAAGGAATGACAGAAAAGGATTATTTAAATATTTTTCAATGACTATTGAAACTATGATATATGTAAATTCTTGTAATAAACTCATTCACAATCTACTTTTAACATAATTACAACTTTACGCACTAACAAAAAGTCAAAACACCATGTTTAGGTGGACAACAGACAACAGTTGCCTGTTGTATGTGAACAGTCTCAATTGACCACTAGCCCTACTACTCCAGCTGGCTTGTTTACTGACACCAGCAGCCGGCCTTCGCCGAGGGGGCACCCGGCATCCCTCCACTAGTAGGCTACACAGCCGGATTAGTGATTAACCGACCACGACAGATGTCGTGCATATGAACCGTCCCAAATACTTCTTCACCCAATTGCATATGAACGACACCCGACGACTTGTATGTGAAACAGGCCTAATAGTCAAGGCAGTATCTCTTTGAAAATGCCAATGTGTGTGTAAGTCTTGCATTTGCACCAAAATATATATAGAAAAGATATATTTGGCAAGCGTACAAAGCCCATGGCTTACATTTAAAAAAATAAAAATTAAACAGGTTTAGTCTGGGATCAATCTTGGCACTGACGTTCATACTAATAAAAATCACATAACAACTAAATACTTAACAATCAAGAGATGACAAATTAAAAATTCCTAATTGCCCTATTTACTAAATTATTAAGAAAACATTATTATTAAAGTACAAATAAATAAAAAATGATACGTTGCTTTGAAAGTTTGCACAACTGTAAAGTGTCCTTTATTAATTAAATTTGCTGATCAGGCAAGTAAAAATCTTATACATGATAATTCTATATTTAGCAATGGAATCTTGCACTTTGAGTGCGAAATTATTTATGCCTTTAATATAAGCACGAATTGTTAAAATATGTTAATAAATGAGATATATTATGGATTATTGTTTTCTTTCTACTTTCTTTACAGTAGATTCCCTCTCATTCAGATCAAACTCTTTGCTGGGTGGTTCAGACCAGTTCAGTTGTGAGAGTGTCTCGCACACACTGACAATCACGTGCCTCAGTACATGTTTGAAACATAGTGACTTCTGGTTGCTCTGTATAAGGTACCCAAATGAAAGGGGGCTTATGTGTATGTTTACAATGTAAACAGGTATGGAGTGGCCAAGTTTAATGTAAAAACCAATTAGACTAATCTAGACTTATTTTTTTCTTCTATACAGTTTCAGACTTTAATGTTAGCATGATTTTAAAATGTGCAATATTAGTCAAAGTAAACATACTGGTATGTTGAGTTTTAAAGACAGAACATTTTCCCAAACAAATTTACAGAAAATGCAAATTTAAATGTTGAAATGAAGTTGGTTTCAATCAAAAAGGGATTTGTTGTCACAGTGAGAATTGTAAAGGTTATATAAAACATTTGCTTACAAGTCATTCCCACCTATAATTTTATCTTCCGTATGGATCAGAAAATGTAGGTTAGCTGTAAATATTGGCTACCTACATCAAATTAACAGACAATTTTAGAGAAACCATAGCATCATGTTGATTTTTGTTCATATGTAAAATTACTTGCCAAGAATTTCAAGCATAATATTGATTGCACAGATAAACTTTTTCTCAGAACTAAGAATAATTTTAAATGGAAAACTAATTTAAGTACATATAATCTAAGGCAATGTATCCACAGCCAAAACTACAACACACTTAGTAAGAAACCCTATAAATTAAGGAACCACTTTATTAATTATTAGTGAGACTGCTGCTCCAGTCACAGCATTCACATATAACAGCTATCAGCTTAGACTTATCCTCTGGGTTACCCACAATTGAAAAGATCATGGAAAACTATCACATCCTTGCCAAAGAAAACCACCCCATTAAACACTCTCCTTGAGCTGGAGGTATATCAGACTTTTTTACTAGATATTTTAACACTATTCTTTCAAATTTTTATATATGAAAAATATATATATACTAGGTGAAACCCATCGAAATCGACGGTTACTTTCAAGGCTTACGCTAATTCATCTAACTGCGATAAGTTGAGTGAAATTAAACATATTTTTAGCATTTAGCGTTGTTTAAAGAGTAATAAGTTTAAAAACAATAATGATATTAATTGCGTTAGTTACCGAATATGGTTGATCATTCAATGAATAAAATATTTCCTATATTGTACGTCATCGGTGATATTATTAGTATGTTAACTGGTATCTCTTCTTTTGGAGGAACCTTTAAATAGTATTAAAATCGTATTGGTGGA